GGTGGGACTTATATGGACAAAACCCATACTTTCCCATGAGGCTTTGTGTTATTTTCCAAGAACTACAACTCCCAGAATGCCAGGAAGTTACCTGGTCATTGGGCTGGTGTTATATTTCCAGAACTACAATTCCCAGAACTGGAGGAAGTTAGATGATCGTTGACCAGGTGTGGAGCTTACAGGTTAATTTTGGGGCTAACACTGCAACAGGTTGAACAAGCATGGGTCACTTCCTAGTGAGCTGATCCTAGTGTGTGTATTGAAGTTGATAACAGGGACTCATAGTCTCAGGCACCCAACAACAAATGTGTAAGACTATGGGATATCTAATTCAGTTTTGCATCTCAACCTTGTAGTTATGTATTTTGTGATCAAATTCCCAGGCAGAAACTACTTATGATAAGAAATGTTTATTTTGCCTTGAAGTTTCAGAGTCCATCTTTATAGGGAAGGCATGGAAGGATGTCTCAGTCCTTAGCTCCAACAATGTGTATATTCTGTTGCTGTGTATATTCTGTGTGTGTTTGTGGAGGAAAGAAGGGATTTGTATAGGACCTGTGGATTGTGGTCAGCCTCATGAGACCCCTGTAGTCTTAGGAGTGATGGGAAAATTGGTTAGAGATCAGATGTGACCTGCCTAATCTTCTTTATGACTGGGGATGATCATTTGACCACCCACGGGACATTGTCCTAAGACCTAGAACATTTGCACTACTTCTCGGAGGCTGATGTAGTGCACTGATAAGAATACCACCAGGGATACTGAACACATTCTCCTTAGTGCAGGGACATCTCTAAAGCACTCCATGGAGGCTGTCACACACCGGAGTTGTCTGTGCAGAATGAAGGCATTTCTTCCCTGGTCAGCTGCAGCATCTTCCACTCCAGTTGTTTTCTGGACAAGGGATGACTATGAGTTAAATGTAGAAAGTACATGGAAGCAGGTCATGACTGTCCCTCATGAAGGTATCACAGGAGTGGAATGCATGGGGACATCTTCACTGTCCTCTTTCCAGAGACCTCATATGAAGAGAGGCCCTTCTCCTTCTATACACTTTTCCAGTATCCAGGTTCGTCTGTCAGAATGTTTCTATTCTGGTGATGATTTCATTGAGATACCACCAATTAAAATCCATGTTACAAATATAATTACACTGAAATACCTTGATTTTTATTGGGATTGAAATAGCTTTCAAAGGCCAGGTTGTCATGACCCTACACCTGCCTCTTCAAGTGGAGGTTACATTTGCTGATAAACAAAAGCTCCTCACTTTGTTTGATGACAGTTTTGACAACATGAAAAGGGCTCCATTCCCTACTGAGACAGGGTCCCAGTATGTAAAAACAGTTGGACAATTCTATAGTAATGTCTTTGTTTGATGTTTCACAAGATCACACTGACACCTTCAAGACCTTCTAGCCTGCAACAAGTGTCATTGCAGCCTTTTGTCATTAAATCTCCTAGCTTTCCTTGTATTTCCCAGGCAGGAGCCCTCTTTTGCTCAGTTAGAGGACTCACTATACACTTAATTGGCTTAATAAAGCTTGGTGATTTTAGCTTTCTCAAATGGACTATTTCAGAATAAAATAAAAGAGTGTAGCTCAATAAGAGTTATACCAAAAGTAATCCACTAACCAATTAATGTAGTTAACACTTTATGAAAATGAAGGAAACATTTGTCACTGCCATGATACAGTATGCTTACTCAATATGATAGATTCATTGATAATAGTAATGTTTATGTTGTCAAAATTCCTTTAAATAATATTAATTCAGGAATGTAGAATAATTTTAAATATCTTGTGTCATTAAAAGCGATTCAAGTTTATTCCTATCACCCATGTATATAGGGTGGTTTAGAATTGCCTGTAATTTGAGTCCAAGGTTATTCAACAGCTGTGACCTGTGTGCTTGTGTATGTATGTTTGTGTTTGTGTGTGTGTGAACATGTGTGTGCACATATGTGTCTTTGTATTTGTATTCACACATTCACACAAATAATTTATAGTAAAAATAAGTATACCTAATATTTTTCATTATGCCAAAGATACGTTTTTTTTCAGCTATGAGTCTTGAAATGTTTCCTAACACTTGCAAATCAACATCTCTATTACTAGTCCATACTCCAGAGAAAGAAGTCTGTCTTTTTTTTAATCCCTCTGTCATTCTGTAAAGCATAAACTGTGACCAATCAAAATATCACAGACTCTTAGGATCAAATCATGTCACAGTCAACCCTTCAGGAAAAAATATTTCTACCATTAAATAACATTAATTAATTCCACAATGGCCATGTTTACAGCATTGCTTTGTGGCAAAAACTTCTCCATAATTTATTAATGTTTAATAAGATTTCACTATCCATAAAATCTGAAAGTCAGTACTCCCAAAGCAAGGTGTGACTCATTTTTCCTATAAAGACAAAGCAAACAGTACTAAAGAAAATGAGTGAATAAAAAAGCAAGTATTGTATCAGGCATCATGATCAACTCTAGAGTACTCTGTGTCACAAACTCAAATGAGGAAACATCATTTTATTATACACCAGAGAAGTGACATGCCATCCACCCACACCAAAGCTAAATTTAAGATTCTCTATCAATATGCTAATAACTATTTGCTCAGAAAGCACACATTCCTATTGAAGAAAAATTGCAGGAATTTTGAATCAGAGGGAAAATAACTAATGATCAAAACAACACAAAAGTTATGCAAATAAAGAAAACTAAATGATAGAATTCTAATGATAAAATATAAAGTTAACAGCAATTGTGAAGAGGAACTAAGAATACTATAATTTTGCAATAGGATCTCGTTCCTGAAGCTATTTGAAGAAAGTATCTATAGTCCAGCAGGGGGCACTGTGTACATCCCAGTAATTGACAAGACCTGAAGCTGACTCCTGACTCTCATTTAATCTCCTGGACCAAGCTTACTGGCCAGGATTAAGAGGTTGCAGTTCAGAAGGTGTTACTGCATCCCTGGCAATAGAGTGGTCCCCTCACTGACAAGATGCAATATAGTGATGATGGTGACATTAAAAGGCTCATAATGAATGAAATCACTATTGACCAAAACCCTGAAGGCCCAGAGTAAAAGACCAACTTTGGGTGCTTGTGATCTCTGAAAATTAACAACATGACACGGATGCCGGTCACATTTCCCAGCTTTGTTCCATCTCTGTCCTTATAATAGAGATTAAAGAGGACTGCCTTTGGAATGATCCTGCACATTTCTTCACTCTTTCCTATCAGCTATTTTTTTCTGGGTTTTTCAGGGTTCCTTCCTGGGATGAGGGGATGCTGGCAAATGACACTCTCCAGCAGTTACTGATCCTTTCTTTACTCACAAGTCCCAGAAGTAGTGGCCAAGAATTTATACTTGATTTCCCCAACAACTAACAGATATTCACACTACTGCCACTTTTTACCTTAAATATAATGCTGTCCTACAGTTCAGGGCTCCAGGCCTGAAAACCATGCTGAAGGCTATTGCATGCTACACTACAATGATGCTCAGCACAGTGAATCACAGATGAAGAAGCAAGATATAAACATGCATTTACCTGAGCCTGGGCATAAGTTATGCTCTATGACAGTGGGATCAATGGCAAGGAAATGATGACACACTGATGTTGACCACCCATAGTCAAAAAGAGGGGGGAAGAATCTGCTTTTATCTATGTTCTAATTAGAGCCATCAAGGGGGGAATATATTTGTCAACTACTGTCATAGAGATTTAAAAGTACAGAATTCAAATATCTTATTTCTCCCTTAGTTGTATCTTAGTTTGTAGCACTAGAATAGACAGATATCCAGAGAGAAGCATTCTCAGTTATGTTCTTTATACAAGTAGATCCAAGTAAAGTAACTGCCCATTCATATTTTCTGACTATTTCCTTCTTGTCTTTCATTTGAAGACAATATAAATTCATTGTATAGTCTTTAAAAGCCATGAAATGATTTCTACTCTGTTATTTGTTTAACATACTTCCCACAAAAACATGACACTGACATGACAAATCCAAATACCACAGAATGCAGTCTCACTGATAAGATCCTAAGCACTATTGCACATGTTTTTAGTCTCTATGTTTTCATACAATGCCTTTGAGAACACAGGGGGATAACAATGGATTGCCATGGGAAGACTGATATGGATAACTGTGGCTTTGCAGCTACTGACCAATGATCACCTAAGATTGTTCCAAAAAACAGGGACAAAGCAAGAAATGAAAAGGTTCTCATCCTGGGTAAATTACAAACCAAGCATTCATTTGTAAATTATTTCTGTAATTGAGCACATTGCTTTCATCTTGATTCACATTTTATGCCCAAGAACAGTAAAAAATTAGTTCATATTTCTTGTATTCTGGTAAAAGCCCCAGAGAAAGGAACTCCTTCTCACTGGAGTCTCAAAAGTAAGAGATCCCTTCTCTTAGCCCAAGGCTGGAAGTCACAGCTTCTGAATTATACACAGCCTTTCCCTTTGGTACAGTACTGTAAGATTTTCTTTAATCAGCTAACATTTTATGAAAGTGCTAATGCAGGTCATGCAGGCCCCTTTGCCTCTCACAACATATACTTGTTGCCAAGGATACCAAGAGACTGTGTTCCTAGAAACCAAGGAAGAAAGCAAAAGAAAGTCTCAGAGATGGCTCAGCAATGTCTTGTTTTCCTCAGTTTTTCTACATTTATCAGTTATAAATTCTAGCTTATCTAGTCACACGAATGTAGTTTTACATACTAACATCCCTCTTCCCCTCTTAGATACCATAACCCCTTACTCCATTAACCACACAGCTGGGGCCACTGTGGTCCCTTGGGCAGCCTCAGGCAGGAAGTGACAACCCAGACATTTGAGGCACACAGACCTAAAAGGGATTTGTTGACAAAGAAAAATTTGCATGAAGGGCCCTCTGAGTTCTCTGAGAATTGTTGAAGGATAAAAGAGACCCACATCATCTCTGTCTCAGAAAAGCTCAGTGGTGACTGCACCATGGCCTGGACTTCTCTACTTTTCTTCCTCCTTCATTTCACAGGTCAGGAGTCATCTGTACCCTGATCCCAGTTCAGGGACACTATAGACACTATATTAAAGCCAGATAAATTCTCCCCTCACCCTCCACTCAGGGATATAATGTGTTTCTCTATTTTCAGGGTCTTTCTCCCAACCTGTGCTGACTCAGTCACCCTCAGCCTCTGCCTCTCTGGGAGCCTCAGTCAAACTCACCTGCACCTTGAGTAGTCAGCACAGCACCTACTTCATAGAATGGTTTCAGCAACATCCAGACAAAGCTCCTAAGTATGTGATGCAACTTAAGAGTGATGGAAGCCACAGCAAGGGGGATGGGATCCCTGATCGCTTCTCTGGCTCCAGCTCTGGGGCTCATCGATACTTAAGTATCTCCAACATCCAGTCTGAAGATGAAGCTGACTACATCTGTAGTGTTAACTATGAAAATGGTAAACAATATTGGTGAACACGGTGAATTAGATAAATGAGGAAGCAGGACAGGAACTATTTTCTTCTCTTGCTACCAAAACTCGCCTATAATAGTGAGATGGAACATGTAAAGTTCTTAGCTATCACAGTCATTAGATGTTTTCTTTACTATTCATGGAGTATACCAGGTCTAACAATTAATCCTGAATTCCCAAAGAAATAGAGGGGAAGCAGGGGTTGTATAGAGCACACTTCTCTATAATAATAATGAATATGTAAAACTCAAAACCGGCATTCATACAGCTTAGTTGGTGAGAATATTCTTACAAATTGGAGCAGAGGTTCTCACTGTTACCACAAGAGTCCATAGAAATACCTATTCTATGCAACATACCATTCTTGTCTCATACTCTAAGTGTTTTACACTCCAGCAAATTCATAAGAAGCACAGGGTAAGAACACTTAAGGTGGCAGTGTGTTTGGAGCCCTCTATTGCCAGGAAAATGACCAGCCACGGTTGTGAATATTGTCCTTGAAAGTACACGACTTTCATATTCTTACTGCCACACCCTCTTTAATTAGTATGTCTACCGGGTGTCTTTGAAGGAAAAAGTGACCACCATGTGGTTTACTATATGACAGTTATTTTTAAAACTAAATTTATTCATTTATTATACATCTTGACTGCAGTTTTCCCTCTTTTCTCACTCCCGTTCTCACCTTCACATCTTTGCCACACACACAAACCAACAAATCCACATCTTCTCTGGTTCTGTTCAGAAAGGGCTAGGTATTCCTTGAGCGTCTACAAATCATGGGGCATATCATGTTGAGGTAGGGCTAAGCCCTCCACTCATATTAACACTTGATAAGGTAAATGAGTATGAGTAATAGGTACCCAAAAGAATGCAAAATATCAGGGACAGGCATCGTTCCCACTGCTAGGAACTCTGAAAGTACACCAAGCTATACAAATGTCATATACTTTTAGAAGGCCCATTGGTCCTATGAACTCTCCTATCTGTCAGTGCATAGTCTGTGAGTTCCTGTGAGCCAAGGTTAATTGTTTCTGTGGGTTCCCTTGGTATGACCTTTGTCCCTTGGCTCATACAATCTTTCCTCCCTCTCTTTAACATGATTCCCAGTGCTTTATGGACCTCTGCATCTGCTTCTGTCATTACTGGATGAAGGCTCTCTGATTACAATTAGGGTAGTTACTACTCAGATTACAAGGAGTTTCCCTTGTACCATGTATCTACCAGACCACAAAATGTTCTCTCACACACACACACACACACACACACACACACACACACACACACACACACACACCTTACACACACACACACACCATAAGACATCTTTTTCATTATTCCCCCCCTCTTCACTGCTCACAAGCTCAAGTAAGACATAAATCCTTTCTTCTCATGTGACCCTGGAAACTCTTTCTACTTAAGTTGCATAGTTACTTCCCTGCCTCTTGCCAATAAGGATAATACATTGCAGCATGACCAAACTTACTTAAATCAAATGTGGCCCTCCTACTTATCATTCTTTAGACTCTATGACATAGAGTATGTGATGAACTTCAGAAAACCTCAGATAAAGGACTTTCTTCCAGTTTTTTTTTTACATTATTAGGATATATCCTTTGTGAAAAACAGTTACCTATTGTTATTTGGTGAAGAATTTTTCTGAGATTTTTGACATTTACTTTGATTATATTCACACTCATCATTTCTCTCCTGTCAAGCTCTTCCTAGAAAAATATTATAAGGGCACATGTGAATTGTAAGATATCTTCTTACAACCTAATCAGTGTGCAGTTTGGCCTGAGAAGAATGTTTAAAAAGAAATAATGTATTCCCTCTTTCTTATCTTATACCACTGTTCTGACTTATTCTCCCTAGAAACCACAAAGAAAACATCATGTCATACATACCTCACATAAAAATTATACATGTCTGTGAGTTCAACTATGAAGGAGAGCACTATGTGGGTGTATGATTATCATTATCTCGAAGTAGGAATTCAAGGGCAATTGCATCTTCTAAACAGCTCATAGAAATGTATATAAAAGCCTTGAATAAAAAGCACACTCTCCAGCACACTTCCTTGCTGCTTATTGCCCATGAATGTTAGTCTTTTTTCCTACAAGTCCTATTAACTTGTACAAATTGTCTAAAATAATATATTTCAAGGCTTAAAAGAGCATGTCCCAGCATATTCTCTGGTGTAAAACAAAGAATAAAATGCTTCCCTCCCTATCACCTCTATATCAAGAATGTTGGTTTTGAAAAGCAATTTCATGGATTTGGATTCCATAACAATATCTTTGCCAACCATTGTCCTCTGTTCCTTTGGGGATAGAAAATCAGACATGATAAGGTCTGGCCCTGATTTTCCAGCTCTGAGACATAAACTTGCCCTTTCTGTCATTTCCTTTGAGCATCCATCATGGTGGAAACAAAAATGCATAGGGAAACAACATTCAAGGGGGAAAGAGGGGGCCAGGGATAGGAACATACTCAATGTACATAATATGCTTGCTTGAAAATTTCCTCATACAACACAGGAATAAGGTCAATGAAAATAAGATGAAAATTAAAAGCAGTAAATATAACTTGCATTTCACATTTGTAAGAAATAGGGAAATTATTCAATATTGAAAAGGATATAAATGATCTTCCAAAAATGAAAAATATATTGTTTTACTATTAAGAACAAAATTACACTGAGTAATTTGGCAAACAATAGACACCATAATAGTAATAATCATTAAGATGGAGAAGTACCAGTAGAAACTAAGAAAAATCTGCTTATTATTCTGTGGGTATAGTTTGGTGGTGGAATATTTGCTGAGCATTAGTTAGGTTCTATGCTGGATTTACAGCAACCATCCTACAATAAAAGTGAAATAAATATTTTGAAAGTGCATTACATTGATAAATAAGCTGTATAAGTACAATACCTTGAAATAGATTAGAAACATATGTACAGTATGTTTTAACAAATTAATTTTAAATTTGTATCAATATACAATGCTTGTATACAATATACAAAGTTCAATCTTTGATTGAACACCTAATTTTTGTAAAATACTTAAAAGTAGTTGTCCCTTTAAAAACTAGATTCACTAACCTATCTTTTTATATAATCATATCTATATTTTAAAACAATTGCAAAGTATTTTCAGGACATCAATGTGCTTTCTTACTGTGTATGGAGTTTTGTACCCCCCTCTCTCTGTCTCTCTGTCTCTGTTTCTGTCTGTCTCTCTGTCTCTGTCTCTCTCTGTCTCTGTCTCTGTCTCTCTGTCTCTCTTTGTCTGTCTCTCGTCCCTTATGAGAGGACAGTGTCACTGACATGGACTAAACACAGTATTTGAAGAATCATGAAGTCTCTATGATGATAGCTGGGGTATTCACCAATCTGATTACAGGAGAAGGTCAGTTCAAGGACCCTCTCCAAACTGCTAGGAGTATTACCTGGGCTCATCTTGTGGATTCTTAGCGATTACTCTGAAACCAGGTTAACATAATTTCTTATTCTGCTTTGGTGTGTGTGTGTGTGTGTGTGTGTGTGTGTGTGTGTGTGTGATCTGATATGAAAATTTATGTGTAAGGATTATTGGTGAAGCATGTGCTTAAGGCTATGACAGGCCTCAAATATTTTCAATTTCTAAATTATTCAATCACAAAATGAAGCTGTCTATTTTTCTAACAGGTACATCATAATTTAAATTTTTACATTACAGAATTATAGTCTTATTACAGCATCTCTTGTTAGTTATTTTTTAATAATTGAAAATAGCACAATCAGATAATCCTGACTAAATTTACCAAAATTATCATTTAAATTACTCCAATAAGAGGAATAAGGAGCTTGTGTTTTGAAAATTCAGAAAACCCATGGAAACAACATATTTGGGCTCAAAGGAGTTCATAGAATCTGAACTACAACCAGGAAACCTGCACAGCTCTAATCTAGGCACTTTACATATATGTGAGAGATTTTTAGCTTGGACTTCTTATGGGACTCCTAGCAGAAGGATCAGGGACTGTCTCTGAGGCTTTTGCTGGCTTTTAGGAACCTATTTCTCATACTGCATTGCATTGCCCAGCCTTAATACAAAATGAGGTGCTTAGACATACAACAACTTGATAGGCTGTTTTGTCACTATTCATGGGTAGCCTTCCCTTTTCTGAATAGAAATGGAGTAGGAGTTGATGGGGGCACAGAGGGAAGGTTGGGGAAGGGACTGGGAGGAGAGGAAGGAAGAGGGACTATGGTCAGGATGTAAAATAATTAAATTTTAAACAAATTTTAAAAAGAAATAATGATTTATTGATTTCTTCCAATTCTGGTGTTGGCTTTTCCTCCATTTCTTTAAAGGATTTTTTCCATTGACTCTTTAAGGAGCTCTGTCATCTTTTTAAAGTTATTTTGGAATATTCAGGTCTTCCTGTCATAGGTAGTTGTATTCTGGTGAAGACATAATGCCCTTTCTGTTATTGATTGTATTCTTATACTGAAATCTAGGTATGTGGATAAGGATGATTATAGGTCTGGTGTTGATTCCTGTGTTCGTGTTATTGGATGGGTATTTTGTTCCTTGTTTTCGGTTTCCTCTATAGTCTTCTGGCCTACATAGCCAGGAATTCTTGTGATTCACAAGTACAGCAAGGTGTCTGCTGGGACTTTGGGGGAGCTGGCTCCCCTGATCTGGTCTCGCCTCTGTCAACAGTGATGTCTTCTTGGTCTCTAGATCCAGACAGGCCTCCTGCAATGCCTGATTCTTCCTTTTGTTGTCTGGGACTAGACATGTCCCAGTAAAAGTGTTGTATCTGTTCTTTTGAATGTTGTGGACTGAACTCAGGCCTATAGCATCTGTTCTTCCAAGTGATGTGTCCTGTGTCTGGGACTATGGTATCTTCTGGTATTCTGAGGAATAGCTACTTGTACACTGGTGAACTGGAGAGGGTGGTTGTAGCTGGTGTGGTCTGCACCTCAGTGGTGAAATATATTTGGGGTTGG